TGATGTAATTAGCATGAAGCCATAGATCCATAGGTTGCATGTACACTTAGGTATATCGTTGTTTCGATTTTTCCGCTACCTAGTTTTAGAGTGTATTTGATGCGTAGAAAACCCAACACTCACACATGGTGTTTTCGGCCTTAGTAGGATTCCAAGATGATGCTTTCGGTTCTGGGTGTTCTAGGATGGGTGGGGTACTAAGCCTAAATATTAATAAACAATGTTTTACATCTATGATTCCTATTCCAATTTTTTTCTTCGTTTTTTTAGTAGTCTTGTCTTGTTATCACTTGTTCACTTTCAAGAGGTGATTACAAAATATGGTTTCCAAAGTATATATATATATATATATGTATACATATATATATATATATATATATATATATATATATATACTTGTGCCCCTATGGTTTTCAAGGTTTTATTGTAATAGGGTTACAATTAAGACCTTGCTTGATCCAACATAGACTAAGATATCATTTGTTTCGTCAAAAAAGGGAAATTATGGACGAAAAATCTATATTGAATGATTAAAAGTCATTAAATTCATAATAAATGATTAAATTATTTTAGTCAAAGAAAATATATGTACATTTTAATAAGTAATTTAAATATATATTTTAAAATAACAATGTAGTTTCCATGTACATTATAAATATAAAATTTTACAAAGATTTTAATCTTATAACGACTACAAATTGATTAAGTCATGTTATACCTAGTCTTTAGGATACTTTCTCTTGTGTATGTTACCTCCTATTTATCAGGAGTTAAGTTAGGTTTACATTCTTGTTCCCTATGTATAAATTGATGTATATGTTCTGTTAATAATACACAATTCACAATTTGCTCTATATAAATTATTATGCTATCAGAGCGATAGGATATGATTTTTTTTCGAGTGCAATCTCCACCATGGATGGCACCAACCAACAACTCCTTGTTGCAGCTTACATTGCCTCTACAAATCTTAACTTTCAAATTCCCTCCATCAGGATCAACTTGGACAGAGACAACTACCCCATGTGGCACACAACAATCATTTCTTCTCTTGAGTGCTTCGATTTGGAATCCTTCATCCTTAATCCTGCCCCTCCACCTATAATAATCATTCCCCTGTTGTTAAAAACATTGCAGATGTTGATGCTTGTATCCTCATTCAAGATGATGTTCCTATCCCAAATCCAAAATTTGTTACCTGGAAAAAAAGGATAACTTTGTCCTTTTTTGGTTGAAGTCTACACTTTCTGATCGCAATGTTGCCACTGTTGCCCGCTCGTCCTCAACGTAACAAGCATGTCAAATAACTGAATCAATTGAAGACTCGTGCTCATTGCATGGCCTTGAAAGTTGCTGACCCTCTCCAAAGGGTCGCTCTCCATGCTTGATTATCTTGAACACAAACGAATAATTGTTGATTCCTTAGCTGCCAACCTTACCCCTGTCTCCGATGATGATCTCATCCGATATATCATTCATGATATTGATTCATCTTACAGCTTATTTGCATCTGCATTTCTTATGATTTCTAAAACAACTTTTTTGGATGATCTCGTGGGCTTACTCCTTCAAGAGGAAGCTCGAACTGATCAAGACCTTGCTCGATAGGCTTCTACCCAATTACCCTCACCATCAGTGCTTGCACCTACTCCACCATTCCAAACAACTTATCAAGTGCCACATACCTATATTAACAATCGTTTCTCCTCAAACTCTACAGACAATAGTTCTAACTCAACAAATTCTGATACTCGTCACCGTCATCCCCACTGTCAGCTCTCTAACAAGCCAGACCATGAAGCCATCAACTTTTCGCAGCGTGTAACAACCGGTTATTTTGGGTCAATAAAAGTCAAAGCAAGTCAATAAAAGTCAAAGTTGTTAAATAAAAGTCAATTTTTTAAATTCATAAAGCTTAAATATGACTTAATACCTTACATTTAAGGTTTTCGGTTTTTGGAATCAAAAACCCACCCAAAACCGAAATCCCTTTCATTTGGAACAATTAGGACCAAAAACACTCTTTGGCCGAAAACCCTTAGGAGACCGAAAACCCCCTGCGAGGCCCCTCCCTACGGACCGAAAACCTTCTCTTTTGCACCGCAAACTCCTAGACCGAGAACCCCTTATGTCCGAAATCAAGTTGATTTCGGTGGAATCTTGACTGAAATCTCTTACTTTATTAGGTGGCACACCTTCCAAAGAGATAAAATACACTTCCCAACGTAAACATCCCATCACTTTTACCCCATATTTCTAAGCCAAAACCGAAAACACACTTCATTTCTCACATTTCCACTACGAAAACTACTCATTTTGCTCTCAAAACTCATCCATAAACACCATATATTCTTAAGTTTTGCTGAGATTATCTTCAAACCTTCTTAAATTCCTCAAGAATATCATCCAAAATCCCAAGAACATTTATATCATCATCAAATCTTCATATTTCATCCAAGAACACCAAGAACACCTTCATATCTTCAAGGATACCCAAGAACAACTTCAAACATCTCTAAGGATTATTGTCAGTATTTCTTACATAATCCAGTGTTGTCTAACACTTTAATTGCTATTTCACAAATTTACATACAATATCGGGTATAAATATTATTAGGATACGACTATTTTCACGTGTTCTAGCCCGAGGATCATCGCTATCACTTCGCTATCCAACCAAGAACACACGTTCGAGGTGAGTTCATACCCCTACGTTTTCACGAGTTTTCTATGTTTTAAGGGGGGGGGGGGAATACAAGTAAAACACAAGAAATCTTATATTAATATTCAGACTATTTCAAGTTATTTCAGTTGTTGTTTTTACCAATATATATATATATATATATATATATATATATATATATATATAATTAATATTCTACAGGCTTAGGACTAGTGGTTCCGCCTTAACTAATGTTCCTTGTTTGGTTGTGGGTTTAGGGCAGAATCACTTGTTCGACTGTCTTTTCAATCTTAATTATATATGCCTTATATATATGAATATAAAAATTATTTCAATAAAACTTTAACCCTTTTTGTAACTCGTTGAGCAAGAGGGTATTTTCACATATATTTTTTATTACCGTTTGTACAAAAACGTTAAAATACTTGAACTATCTTTATTTCAGATTCACGCAAATATACATACAAAGTTATTAAAAATACAAAGATTTTCATTTCAATAGAACATACACTTTAAACTATAATAGGTATAGTTTATGGAACATGCATACTATTCTACTAGTCAGTGATACAATACAAAAATAATTATATAAAAGCATAATTATTTTATACTACGAATACACAATGAAAGGAGTAATACATACGATTTATCATTACAGAATGGCTTTTCATTATACTACACGTAAATAGTCAATACAGCTCTATGAGACAAGATTCAAGTACTTATCTAAGTGCCAACAAAAGTCTTGTATTATAACCAGAGTCTCCTAGAGAGAGAGCGTGACACTTGTGTATAGATCTATATGAGACTGACAATCCCGCACCTAAACTGTTAGCTACAGTTATACCGACAGGTCTAGGGTGACAAATGCCATACCAATTCCGACGCTTGAAGAATGTCGTATCAGGCCATCTTAGGTCATCAAGCAAGGTTATAATAACTCACAATTGGGTATTAACAATACATTTAGTGTACGAATACATACATAACTTCAAACAGTTTTATTTAATAATAAAACTACAATGCAATACTTTATAGTACAACTGGTGGATTCCAGTCACATACACTCAAAGGATTTGATACTAATAGTCAAATACAATTACAATATACTATTTTCCAGTATAGAGAAATTTACATTTCTGGAAACGTTCATTTATGGTTTTATGTGAATTAAAACTACATTATACCATTTCAGAGTACGATAATATTTATACATTTTTGGTCTTAAGGTACTAAGACTACAATTCATTTTCAAAAGAAAATATTGGATTTTCTGGAAGAACACACGAACAGTTTAAATGAACAACGATAGTCTTTCTAATACAAATGCTTATAAACCCACCAACTTAAATTTTGACACTCTTTTTCAAAACCACTTGTATTCTCAGGAGATCAGTAGACAGGTACCACACAGGTTTTGTGAAGACAGAGCATAACAGTGCTGTGTCTTATATTTTGTTATACATTTTGGTGTCAAGTATACAATCATTTGAATGCGAATGTAAAAACTTATACATTATCAATATTGTTGGATTAGGCTCTAAGCCCATAACTATATTTGGTATGTACTTGACCCGATTGTAGCATGGTCCTTTTGGGTTGCCTTCACCGGAGCAACTTGACTGGATGAATAATGGAGAAAGAGGATAAATGTGGTTTATTAATATATTTTATGAATAATATATTAAAAGAGAAATCATATTAGTTAATTAATATTGGTCAAGAATTAATTAAGAATTAATTTTGTGGTCAAAAGATATTAATTGAACTTAGGGGACTGGAATTGCAATTATAAGATAATTGGATTTTGGGCTGTAGATCCCTTAGAAGGAGGGGTGGACGAAATCAAGGAGGAAAGCCCACCTTGAATTTGTCCAAGGCCTTGTTCTAGAAGGATCTTTAGACTGCTTGGTGGTTAAGCAGTCTAATTAGGGTTTAGGCTTGAAACCCTAACAGCTCACCTATATAAGGAACCCCTAGGGCACTAGAAATCGGCTACCAGAACCCTAGAGAAGTTCATAGAGCTGATTTTTAGTCTTCCCTTCTCTACAATATTCTCCAACTTGATTTGGTGTTTGTGATCTACTAGAGGCACAACATTTGGGGTGCTAAAGTTCTCAAAAGCTCAAGATCTTCAAGCAACAATTAATGGTAACATCTTTACTTTTTTATTTATGTTGACTCAAGTTTTGTTGTATGCTAGATTAGGGTTTTGCAAGTCATGGACAATTATGCATGTACAATTAGAAGAAAAATGTGCCTCACAATCTAAAAACATTAAAAGAAAAATGTGACTCAAGTTTTTATTTATGTTGACTCAAGGTCTTTTTGATATAGGTATCCCCCAAGGGCGATATCGTCCATATCTAAAAACATTAAAAGAAAAATGTGCCTCACAATCTGAAAGTGTAATTAAAAAAGGATAACACTGATGAGACAACATTCCACTTACTTCTCTTTTAGCTGACAAGTGCATAGATAATTATACAGATACAGTATTTGCTGCAATTGATCTTCATCAAGGGACAAGACCTAAAAGTTGGTGACATGCTGACATGTCAGTTGAATGTTATGTAATCTGACATAATAAACTAAGAAATGATTAATTAGTTACTTATAATTACAAAAGTTAAGAAACTAACCAAGCTAGATAACTCGATATCAACCGAGTATTGTGCTGCATTATTCTCAAGCCTTCCAGACCTGTTCACCTGCAATGTACAACTGTAAAAATATATCTAATGTGCAAAGTACAACAATTCTAAATTTGTTATGAGATGATGCATACCGAAAGAGAAGTAGATACATCAACTGGGGACAACAAGTGAACATGTTCATCATTTTGAAAGCTTGCAGCAACCATTAACATGGAGTATTCACCATTGTTGGCATACATATCTTCTGCAGATCCATGAAAGGTTTACAGTAGATTTCCAAACCTTGTATCTCAACAAGTTTGTTTACTTGGCCAGATCTCACCTTTCTACTTAATACCCTGAAATTCTATTAGAGTCATTGAGAGTTTTAAGTAGTCGATAAACTGAGAAAAAAGATCAATTTCACAGATGGGGTTTTTTGAAACTGTTGTGAGAATCAAAGATAAGGTATTCGAAGAAAACATGAAAGTATTTTGTCTTTTTTTTTAAATGATATATACAACAATATGATTGTAGAGAAAGATCAACCTTACAAATCTATAGAGATGCACATTTTAGCAGATTTTAGCAGCCTAAAGAACGTAATCTTTTCCAGTCACTCAACACTCAGACAATTACTTTGCTTGAGAGTTCACCAAAGTCGGTGGGGCATACACCAAAAATCGCTGAAAAGAGTCGAGAACTGAGGAGCAAGGGAAAAACCCTAACTAACCTCAAATTAATCGGTTTTTACTGAAAAAAGGCAGAAATCGAGAGAGTTTTGGAGTTTACCTGATAGGCGCTTGGGTATGGTACCGCTAGTCCACCGTCTTTTTCTACCACCAGTGTTAGTAACCGGAACGTCGTGAGAATGCATTGATACAGTAGAACCGTAGCCGATGGGGAAGAAAACCGATGAATTGATGGAGGTATAACAGGTATTTGATATAAGAGACGGTGAGGGCGACACAATTTTTGACGGGAACTATGTCTGGTCACGAAGGGTCTGATATCAATCAGACACAAGAACACCACCACATCTTCCCCTTTGTTGCTCTGTTTTTCAGGGTCCAAGTAGATCCTTCTCACTGGCGGCCGGAGGAGGAGGCTTCGTCGGTGTCGTCGACTAGAGACCGGAGGCGGACGAGCATTCGATTAAATTTTGACTTTATGGTCAAATGGACACTCGATTTAAAGTCTCAGAATTGTGCGGCTGTTGGTGAATGGTGACCTAAAATAGTGATGAGGGTTTTGTTATCGGTGTAGTGCGACAGGAAGGAATGGTTGGAGACACTTGGCGGTGCGAGATCGGAAGTTGGGTGGTGGTGCGATGCTGCTATGAAGACGAAGGGATAGGGCTTTTTCTTGCTAATTGGAAGAGGCGCGGGGGGGGGGGGGGATGTTTAGTTTTTGGGATTCAATAGGCGGGTGAAATCCCCCCTTAAAAACGCGTGTTTCATTAAAATATTATAAAGCGACACATTTAGACGACACACATTTTATGAAAGGCGCCCTCCGCCCTCCGCATTTCCTTTTTTTTCTTTTCTGACACTAATTTTAGGGCACACACAAATGCGTGTCCTCTATCCTTCAAATTTTGCAAAACTGACATTATTTTTTAGGGCCCACACAAATGTGCGTCCTCTATCAGCGAGTGTCATTGTTTGCGCGTCATTAAAGGGCTATTTTCTAGTAGTGGTTTTAATATTTTATGTTTATTGCTGAGTATTATTGGGATTCGATGATCATTCTATCTTGATGTGCCCAAATCATATGAATTTATGATCATTAGATTTCTATGACTATGATATTGAGCATAAACCTAGGGTTAAATGGAAAAGTTGGTAACTTTAAATGTGTGAGCTTATATGTAATGACCATTCATGTATAAAATTGGTATTATGATCATTAATATCAATTTATAATTCAAGTCTTGCAAAAATTCATACTAAACACTGATTTGCATGATTATTTGTGCACTTGATCGTTGACTTGATAATTGTGTTAGATCAACGGATTAATAATCTGACCATGATGCAAGTCATATTAGGAATTGGTGAATAATGAATAAATATCCATTGCACTTAGTAGTTAACTAGTATTTTAAGATGAAATCCAGTCTAAACCAAAGTACCCGAAGTGGTTTGTTTCCATTCAGCTTATCTAGTTAGTTTACTTGTTGATTTAATTGAGTTGTTATAATAAAACCCCCTTTTTATTGCTTTCATTTATTTAATGTAACGTATAATCAAACATTCTAATATTAATTTACTATCATTCCCCTTGATTACAACACCCTTGCTTATCAAAACTATACTATAATCAACCATGTTCACTGCCTGTAAGGTGTGGTTTAGATACGATCGATATTCTAGCACTTATAAATAAAAAACTAGTACATAAAAATAAACACGTCATGTTTTTGGCGCCGTTTCCTCCGATCGAACCCGGGTTACCCGCATGATAGGCATGATGTAACATCCCAAATTCCATGACCAAAAATTACATTTTTGATTTAATAGTTCATAAAATGGTTTTCTAAAAACATCATCAATATCATGTCATGTCACAAAACCCATAAGTCAAATATCACAAAAACATGCCATAAGGTAATAATATCAGAGTACAAAATCCCAAGAACATCGTAGTGAGGAAAATCATGTGTGTGATGTGCTGCAGTCAAGCCGGCTCCTTTCCCTTTGAAGAGGAAGTAATTGAAAACAAAACTGTAAACCGTAAGCACAAAGCTTAGTGAGCTCCCCCATCATACCACATACCATACAATAACATATATTGTCAGCCATGTCTGGGTGCCCGACCTACCCCTTTAGTCTCTTTCGACCGGTAACCGCCTAGCATATATGGGTGTTGGCCTACCCTTTTAGTCTCGTTCAACAGGATACTGCCTAGCATATCTTGGTGTTGGCCTCCCCTTCGGTCTCTTTCAACTGATAACCGGGGACTATTTCACCCCCACCACTACCACATATTACCCTAGCATATACACATATACCATATACTGCCTAGCATATCTGGGTGCTGGCCTACCCCTTCGGTCTCTGTCAACTGGATACCGGGGACTATTTCACCCCTACCACTATCGCATAATAACGTAGCATAGAATCACATAAAACATATATTGCCTAGCATATCTGGGTGCTGGCCTACCCCTTCGGGCTAGGGCTCCCTCATCTTATCCTCCGGCTCCCAAGTCCACTCCGTGCCCTTGCGGTGCTGCCACTGCAACTTTGCCAACTCACCCTCTTACTCCTCAGATCGTTCATTTTCCTATCGAGGGTGGCTACTGGCCGCTCGATGTAGTTCAGGCTGTCATACACCTGCATGTCCTCAAAGGGTACCACTACAGAATCATCTACCCAATACTTCCGCAGCTAGGAGACATGAAAAGTGATGTGGATCTAACTAAGCTCAGCTGGCAGATCCAGCCGGTATGCAACCTTGCGCACCCGGGCTATAACCCTGAAAGGTTCGATGTATCTGGGGCCCAACATACCGCGCTTCCTGAACTGGATGACACCTTTTCAAGGTGACACCTTCAGGAGGACCATATCTCCTACCTGAAACTCTAGGTTGGATCGACGTCTGTCGGCGTAGCTCTTCTGCCGACTCTGAGCTGTCTGGAGTCGACTCCGAACCTGTTGGATCCTCTCTGTCATCTTGAGTACCACTTCGGTACTCCCGATGACCCTCTGTCCAACCTCACCCCAGCATATCGGGGTCCTGCACTTCCTCCCATAAAGCATCTCGAACTGAGTACAATTGATGCTGGCGTGGTAGGCATTCTTGTAGGAAAACTCTGCCAAAGGAAGGTAAGTATCCCAACTACCACCAAAGTCTAGGACGCATGCCTGCAGCATATCCTCCAAGGTCTGGATGGCCCGCTCCCTCTATCCATCCTTCCGCGGTTGAAAAGTCGTGCTAAGGTGCAGATGAGTCCCCAATTCATCATGAAACTTCTTCCAGAATCTGGAAGTGAACCGCACATCACGGTCAGAAATCACGGAAACTAGAACTCCGTGACGAGCTACTACCTCCTTGATGTAGATTTCAGCCAGCTTCTCGGCCGAGATGCTCTCCTGGATCGGAAAGAAGTGGGCGCTCTTGGTCAACCGATCCACGATGACCCAAATCGCGTCTACACCATGCGTCGTCCGAGTTAACTTCGTAATGAAGTCCATGGTAATATCCTCCTATTTCCATAAAGGAATATCCAACGGTTGCATCTTTCCGGTCGGCCTCAAGTGCTCGGCCTTGACCTTCCTGCAGGTCAACCACCTCTCGACGTACCAAGCTACATCGCGCTTCATGCAGGGTCACCAGTAGCCAGGACGAAGATCTCTGTACAACATCGTCGCCCCGAGATGGATGGAAAATCTGGACTTGTACGCCTCCTCCATCAGGATTTGGCGCACACCGCCTGCGTACGGAACCCACACTCTGTAGTGGGGGTGTCGACAGCTCGCGGCTATCATAGTTGAAGGAGGAAATATGACCCACGATACGCTTACTCTTCCGGTGTTCCTCCTTCATAGCCTCCTGCTGGGCCTCCCGGATCTTCTCCAAAAGCGAAGTCACCACTGTTATCCTCAGACAGATATCTCTGATCAGGGCAGGAAATTCCTTGCGGCTAAGTGCCTCGGCGATAACATTGGCCTTCCCCGGATGATAGAGGATCTCACGGTCGTAATCCTTCACCACGTCCAACCATCACTGTTGTAAATGGTACAACGAACCCTATAGACATAGTGTCGCTAAATCTTGAGGGAAAAAACAACCGCCCCAACTCCAATTCATGTGTTAGGTAGTTCGCATCGTGAGGCTTCAACTATCTCGAGGCGTAGGCGATGACGTGCCCTCTGCATCAACACTGCGCCCAAACCCGAGATGGACGCGTCGCAGTAAACTACAAAATCATCAACGCCCTCTGGCAGGGCTAGGATAGGCACCTCACACGACCTCTGCCTCAAAGTCTCAAACGCTGGCTGCTGCTTAGGCCCCCAGCGAAAGACTAAAACCTTCTTCGTCAGTCGGGTCAGGGGTACTGCTATTTTCGAGAAATCCTGAATGAATCTCTGATAATAGCCTGCTAATCCAAGGAAACTTCGAATCTCAGATGGAGACTTCGGAACCTCCCATCTCATTACAGCCTCCACTTTGGCCGGGTGGACCAGAATACCATTCTGGTTGACAAGGTTCCCTAAGAACTACACCTCGCGCAACCAGTATTCACATTTGGAGAACTTGGCGTACAAGCTCTCCCTCCTCAGGGTATCCCCAAGGCGAACTACTAGGTCTGATAAATCCTTTGTCTAATAGCTCCTGCAGATGTGTAGACCACTCCTGCATCTCAGGATGAGCCAACCGATATGGTGCCTTGGCTATCGGTGCCGCACTAGGAACTAGGTCAATCCGGAACTCCACCTGTCTCTCTGGAGGTATCCCAGGCAACTCCTCTGGGAACACATCCGGGTACACCCGCAGAACTGGCACATCGCTCACGGTCGCCTTAAGGTAATAATATCATGTCATGTCACAAAACCCATAAGTCAAATATTACAAAAAACATGCCATAAGGTAATAATATCATAGTACAAAATCCCAAGAACATCATAGTGAGGAAAATCATGTGTGTGATGCGCTGCAGTCAAGCCGACTCCTTTTCCTTTGAAGAGGAAGTACCTGAACACAAAACTGTAAATCGTAGGCACAAAGCTTAGTGAGTTTGCCCATCATACCACATATCATACAATAACATATACTGTCAGCCATATCTGGGTGCCCGACCTACCCCTTCGGTCTCTTTCAACCGGTAACAACCTAGCATATCTGGGTGCTGGCCTACGCTTTCAGTCTCTT